GTTGTTGTGTGTTCTCTTGTTGCTGTTGTGTGTTCTCTTGTTGCTGACCGTGAGTCTGTCAGATTCTCAGAGCCCGCCGTCGGTGGCCGTGTCCCGTCTGGACGCCGCTCTCTCTGAAACCTCGGACGTGAGCTCCACACGACGCCAAGGCCCCACGGTCATCTGGACCACTCTGGAGCGGATCTGGCTCCAGGCGGGTGAGAAACTACACTGTGAGAGAGAGACAGGTTAGAGAGAGAGACAGGTGAGAGAGAGAGACAGGTTAGAGAGAGAGACAGGTGTGAGAGAGAGACAGGTTAGAGAGAGAGAGGTTAAAGGGAGACAGAGGTTAGAGAGAGGTTAGAGAGAGAGACACAGGTTAGAGAGAGACGGGTTGGAGAGAGACAGGTTAGAGAGAGAGACAGGTTCGAGAGAGACAGGTTAGAGCAAGAGACAGGTTAGAGAGAGACACAGGTTAGAGAGAGAGACGGGTTAGAGAGAGACAGGTTAGAGAGAGAGACAGGTTAGAGAGAGACAAGTTAGAGAGACATGTTAGAGAGAGAGACAAGTTAGAGAGACAGGTTAGAGAGAGAGACACAGGTTAGCAAGAGAGACAGGTTAGAGAGAGACAGGTGAGAGAGAGAGACAAGTTAGAGAGAGAGAGATAGGTGACAGAGAGAGAAGTTAGAGAGAGAGACAGGTGAGAGAGAGCGATGTTAGAGAGAGTGACACAGGTTAGAGAGAGAGAGAGACAGGTGAGAGAGAGAGACATGTTAGAGAGAGAGACACAGGTTAGAGAGAGAGAGAGACACAGGTTAGAGAGAGAGACAAGTTAGAGAGACAGAAACAGGTTAGAGAGAGAGACACAGGTTAGAGAGAGAGACACAGGTTAGAGAGAGACACACAGGTTAGCGAGAGAGACAGTTTAGAGAGAGACAAGTTAGAGAGAGAGACAGGTGAGAGAGAGAGACAAATTAGAGAGAGAGAGACAAGTTAGTGAGAGAGAGATAGGTGACAGAGAGAGGTGTTAGAGAGAGAGACACAGGTTAGAGAGAGAGACAGACAGGTGAGAGAGAGAGACAAGTTAGAGAGAGAGACAGGTGAGAGAGAGAGACATGTTAGAGAGAGAGACACAGGTTAGAGAGAGAGAGAGAGAAGTTAGAGAGAGATACAGGTTAGAGAGATACAGGTTAGAGAGAGACAAGTTAGAGAGACAGGTTAGAGAGAGAGACAAGTTAGAGAGACAGGTTAGAGAGAGAGACACAGGTTAGAGGGAGACACAGGTTAGCGAGAGAGACAGGTTAGAGAGAGACAGGTTAGAGAGAGAGACACAGGTTAGAGAGAGAGACACAGGTTAGCGAGAGAGACAGGTTAGAGAGAGACAAGTTAGAGAGAGAGACAAGTTGGAGAGAAAGAGACAAGTTAGAGAGAGAGAGAGACAGGTTAGAAAAAGACAAGTTAGAGAGAGAGACAGGTTAGAGAGATAGAGATAGGTGAGAGAGACAGGTTAAAGAGAGACAGGTGAGAGAGGGAGACAAAGGTGACAGAGAGAGACAAGTTAGAGAGAGAGAGACAGGTGAGAGAGAAAGAGACAAGTTAGAGAGAGAGACAAGCGAGAGAGAGAGACATGTTATAGAGAGAGACACAGGTTAGAGAGAGAGAGAGAGACAGGTGAGAGAGAGACAAGTTAGAGAGAGATACAGGTTAGAGAGATACAGGTTAGAGAGACACAGGTTAGAGAGAGACAGGTTAAAGAGAGACACAGTTTCGAGAGAGAGATACAGGTTAGAGAGAGAGAGAGATAGGTGAGAGAGAGACAAGTTAGAGAGATACAGGTTAGAGAGACACAGGTTAGAGAGAGACAGGTTAAAGAGAGACAGGTTAGAGAGAGACACAGGTTAGAGATCGAGACAAGTTAGAGCGAGACAGGTTAGAGAGAGACACAGGTTAGAGAGACAGGTTAGAGAGAAACACAGGTTAGAGAGAGAGACACAGGTTAGCGAGAGAGAGACAAGTTAGAGAGAGAGACAGGTGAGAGAGAGAGACAAGTTGGAGAGAAAGAGACAAGTTAGAGAGAGAGAGACAGGTTAGAAAAAGACAAGTTAGAGAGAGAGACAGGTTAGAGAGATAGAGATAGGTGAGAGAGATAGGTTAAAGAGAGAGACAGGTGAGAGAGAGAGACAAAGGTGGCAGAGAGAGACAAGTTAGAGAGAGAGACAGGTGAGAGAGAGAGAGACAAGTTAGAGAGAGAGACAGGTGAGAGAGAGAGAGACATGTTATAGAGAGAGACACAGGTTAGAGAGAGAGAGAGAGAGACAGGTGAGAGAGTGTGAGTGTGAGAGTGTGTGTGTGTGTGTGTGTGAGCCGCTGTGAGTGTGTGACTGTGTGAGCCGCTGTGAGTGTGTGTGTGAGTGTGTGTGTGTGTGTGTGTGTGTGTGAGCCGCTGTGAGTGTGTGACTGTGTGTGTGTGAGTGTGTGACTGTGTGAGCCGCTGTGAGTGTGTGTGTGAGTGTGAGAGTGTGTGACTGTGTGAGCCGCTGTGAGTGTGTGTGTGAGTGTGTGTGTGTGTGAGCCGCTGTGAGTGTGTGTGTGAGTGTGTGTGTGTGTGAGCCGCTGTGAGTGTGTGTGTGTGAGTGTGTGAGTGTGTGAGCCGCTGTGAGGGTTCTGGCTCCGTGGCTCGTAGCTCCGTAGCTCCGTGGCTCCGTGGCTCGTAGCTCCGTAGCTCCGTGGCTCCGTGGCTCCGTGGCTCGTAGCTCCGTGGCTCGTAGCTCCGTGGCTCTGTGGCTCCGTGGCTCCGTGGCTCGTAGCTCCGTGGCTCCGTGGCTCCGTGGCTCCGTTGCTCCGTGGCTCCGTGGCTCGTAGCTCCGTGGCTCCGTGGCTCCGTGGCTCTGTGGCTCTGTGGCTCCGTGGCTCCGTGGCTCCGTGGCTCCGTGGCTCTGTGGCTCCGTGGCTCCGTGGCTCCGTGGCTCTGTGGCTCTGTGGCTCCGTGGCTCCGTGGCTCTGTGGCTCTGTGGCTCCGTGGCTCCGTGGCTCTGTGGCTCTGTGGCTCCGTGGCTCCGTGGCTCTGTGGCTCTGTGGCTCCGTGGCTCCGTGGCTCTGTAGCCGTAGCGTAATGATTCTATAACCATTAGCCGAGCGTGTGGCAGCTCATCTCTCTCCTTTATTACCCAGACTCCTCCTCTCCGGGCGGCTCTGTGTGAAAGGGCAGAGCGAGGAGCCGCTGTGCCCTTTACTGCCTCCAAACGAGGCGCTAATGAAGCCACCGCTACTGCAGCTCTAACGACCACGACCCGGAGATGTGTTGTCCTCTCACCAGCTCCACTTTAGTGTCAGAGAAAGAACCATTATTCAATAGATCTATTGGTGCTGGTTTCATCAGCAGCAGTAGCAGCAGCAGCAGCAGCAGCAGCAGTAGCAGCAGCAGCAGTAGCAGCAGCAGCAGTAGCAGCAGCAGCAGTAGCAGCAGCAGCAGCAGCAGCAGCAGCAGCAGCAGCAGCAGCAGCAGCAGCAGCAGCAGTAGCAGCAGCAGCAGTAGCAGCAGCAGCAGTAGCAGCAGCAGCAGCAGCAGCAGCAGCAGCAGCAGCAGCAGCAGCAGCAGCAGCAGCAGCAGCAGCAGCAGCAGCAGCAGCAGCAGCGGCAGCAGCAGCAGCAGCAGCAGCAGCAGCAGTAGCAGCAGCAGCAGCTGCAGCAGCAGTAGCAGCAGCAGCAGCAGCAGCAGTAGCAGTGGCAGCAGCAGCAGCAGCAGTAGCAGCAGCAGCAGCAGCAGCAGCAGCAGCAGTAGCAGCAGCAGTAGCAGTGGCAGCAGCAGCAGCAGTAGCAGCGGCAGCAGCAGCAGCAGCAGCAGCAGCAGCAGCAGTAGTAGCAGCAGCAGCAGCCGTAGCAGTAGTAGCAGCAGCAGCAGCAGTAGCAGCAGCAGCAGCAGTAGCAGTGGCAGCAGCAGCAGCAGCAGCAGTAGCAGCAGAAGCAGCAGCAGCAGCAGCAGCAGCAGCAGCAGCAGCAGCAGCAGCAGCAGCAGCAGCAGCAGCAGCAGGAGCAGCAGCAGTAGCAGCAGCAGCAGTAGTAGCAGTGGCAGCAGCAGCAGCAGCAGCAGCAGCAGTAGCAGCAGCAGCAGTAGTAGCAGTGGCAGCAGCAGCAGCAGCAGCAGCAGTAGCAGTAGCAGCAGCAGCAGTAGTAGCAGCAGTAGCAGCAGCAGCAGTAGCAGCAGCAGCAGCAGCAGTAGCAGTAGCAGCAGCAGCAGCAGCAGTAGTAGCAGCAGTAGCAGCAGTAGCAGCAGCAGCAGCAGCAGTAGCAGTGGCAGCAGCAGCAGCAGCAGCAGCAGAAGCAGCAGCAGCAGCAGCAGGAGCAGGGGCAGCAGCAGCAGCAGCAGCAGCAGCAGCAGTAGCAGCAGCAGCAGCAGCAGTAGCAGCAGCAGCAGCAGCAGCAGCAGCAGCAGCAGCAGCAGCAGCAGTAGCAGCAGCAGCAGCAGCAGCAGCAGCAGCAGCAGCAGCAGCAGTAGCAGTGGCAGCAGCAGCAGCAGCAGCAGCAGCAGTAGCAGCAGCAGCAGCAGCAGTAGCAGCAGCAGCAGCAGTAGCAGTGGCAGCAGCAGTAGCAGCAGCAGCAGCAGCAGCAGCAGTGGCAGCAGCAGCAGCAGCAGTAGCAGCAGCAGCAGCAGTAGCAGCAGCAGCAGCAGTAGCAGCAGCAGCAGCAGCAGCAGCAGCAGCAGCAGCAGCAGTAGCAGCAGCAGCAGCAGCAGTAGCAGTAGCAGCAGCAGTAGCAGCAGCAGCAGCAGCAGCAGCAGCAGTAGCAGTAGCAGCAGCAGTAGCAGCAGCAGCAGCAGCAGCAGTAGCAGTAGCAGCAGCAGCAGCAGTAGCAGCAGCAGCAGCAGCAGCAGCAGCAGCAGCAGTAGCAGCAGCAGCAGCAGCAGCAGCAGCAGTAGCAGCAGCAGCAGCAGTAGCAGCGGCAGCAGCAGCAGCAGCAGCAGCAGCAGCAGCAGTAGCAGCAGCATCAGCAGTAGCAGCACCTGTGCTCGTCACGGTGGGAAATTCCAGTGTTGCATCGCAGGCCACAGCCGTGGAACGAGCACAGGACTAAGAGACTCTGAAGCTCTAACTTTAAACATAAACATCTCTGTTTAAAGCTTCATCAAGAAACAATAACAAAGTGATGAAGAGGAAGAACTGAGAACACAGTCCTCACTGTCGCTAACGGCAACAGCACCTGTCAATCACACTCAGCAGCACCACTGCCTCAGCTTCAAGCTCCAAGCAGCAGATTCACTCACGCCACAACCCTCCTCCTCCCCATCTCCACCTCGTTCCCATCCTTCTCTGAGCTGCTCAGAGGACCACCTCCAGGGTGTGTGTGTGTCTGTGTTAGTGTGTGTGTGTGTCTGTGTCTGTGTTAGTGTGTGTGATGTGTGTACACATGGTACATACATGGTACACACATGTACACACATGGTTCACACATGGTTCATACATGGTACACATATGGTACACACATGGTTCATACATGGTACACATATGGTACACACATGGTACACACATGGTACACACATGGTTCACACATGGTACACACATGGTTCACACATGGTACACACATGGTACACACATGGTACACACATGGTTCACACATGGTTCATACATGGTACACACATGGTTCACACATGGTTCATACATGGTACACACATGGTTCACACATGGTACACACATGGTTCACACATGGTACACACATGGTTCACACATGGTTCATACATGGTACACACATGGTTCACACATGGTTCATACATGGTACACACATGGTTCACACATGGTACACACATGGTTCACACATGGTACACACATGGTACACACATGGTACACACATGGTACACACATGGTTCACACATGGTACACACATGGTTCACACATGGTACACACATGGTTCACACATATTTAAAATACTATAACAGATCCAGAGAACTTACTGTGTGTAAATATGGTTCTTTTATCATTGACAGTAGTAAACGTGTGTTAAAGTGTGTGTGCTCTGTTCGGGGAAAACAGATGAAAAACAGCTTCTTCTGGTACATTTTCAGTAATGTTTATTAACGTACTCTGTCCCTGTCAAATAAACAAATAAGTAAAATGATTAAATAAATAAAATAATGGTATTTGGAGACGAGAAAAGGAACAAAACCGACAGAACCATGAGAGCGACACTAAAACATGTGTCCACTTCTCCACATAGTTCTGCACAAGTGTCACTCGAGTGTAGCGTTGGAAGCTTGTGCTGCTTTGTCTCCCCTGCCTCCCCCTCCTCCCCCCTCCCTCCCCTGCCTCCCCCTCCTCCCCCCTCCCTCCCTCCCCTCCCCGTGGGTCGGTGTCTGACAGAGAGCTGGCGGATGACGTCCCAGGAGGCAGGATTACCCCGCTGCATGCCCCAGGCCAGGATGCTCTGGTGGGGATTACCCTGAGACCTGCACCCTGGCTGGATTACAGCCCTGGACCTCATTTCCATCTCCTTATTTACCGCGGCGCACGGAGGAAACGCTCAGCTGCACAAAAACATGCTAATTGATGCTGAGAAAGCGCGGAGGTGTAGTCAGCGCCGCGTACGCTTGTTTTGGAGGGTTAAAGGTTTAAAATGAGTTGTGGAAAAGTGTTCTCTGCTCCGGAGTCGCCGCCTCCGTAAGCTCCAGGTGCATTTCATATTAGGGAGAAAATCTATTAAAGAAGAGGCTTTTCAGACGTGACAGGTTTCTCTCTCTGCAGCTTTCACTTTACTGTGTCTCTCCTGAACGTCTCTGAGGACTTTACAAAGTTGTGGATTCACCAACAGCAGATCAGAAAATCAAACCGTTCAAACACAGGGAATTTAACAATAACAAACACAGAGACATCGGTTCATAGTTTACATTTTTCTTCCTGAGAAATGACTTTGACTCATTGTTCTGAATTTATACAGTTATTTTGAAGGTAGTAAAGTATTTATTTGTGGGTTACTTTCTCAAATGTTTGGCGCTGATTGATTTAATCACTAAAAACCTACAGAGACAAACACCAACACACAGATGTTAGACAGAGCTGGGAGATTATAATCTATGATAATAATAATAATGATACAGAGGTTTCAGACACTCAAAGACGCTTCATCATTCTTTCTCTCCAAACACTGTGATAAACTACTGTAGCCACAGCTGCCCTGGGGCACACTGACAGAAGCGAGGCAACCAGTCTGTGCCATCGGCCCCTCCCCCCACCACCAACCACTCACACACTCACCAGACTCATTCTAATGTGGGGGAAGTGTCTTGCCTAAGGACACAACGGCAGCAGACGTCAGTGGGATCAGTACTGCCCCCTCCACATGTAGCTCCAGGTTCTCAGGGATCCAGTTTGCAGACAGTTCAATGCAGAGACTGACCAGAGAGAAACTTGTTATAAGTTCCTGAAGTAGTCTGTGCTGTAGCAGGCGGCCCCCACCTCTCGTCCTGACCCCCCCCTCTCAACCTGCCCCCCCTTTTGTCCTGACCCCCTCTCCCCCCCCCCCCCCCTCTTGTCCCTGGACCCTCAGGAGCAGATGGAGAGCAGGGGAGACCCCTGGCCTGTGGACTCCCCAGTCCTGAAATGCCAGCCGCTCTGCTGAGACCTTTGGACCAGGAACACATGTATCAGGAATCAATGGTTGTCTGTCTGGGCCACATGGTCCAGCTGCGGCCTATCGACGGCGAGCTGCAGCGGGAGGCGGCGTGCGGAGGCAGGAGGCGGCGAGCGGAGGCAGGAGGCGGCGAGCGGAGGCAGCTCTGAGCATCGAGCGCCGTCACCGCTGTCGATACCTCTGCATACAACGCTGCGGCTGCTTCATTATCCCTCACCTTTCAACTCACGCCATGGATTTTCTGATGTCGCCCCCGACGACGCCTCAGACACGCTTCCTCTTGGCCACCGCCGCAAAAACATACGATAATGAGATTATGTGGACGAGGAAACTCTGGGAACGTGATTTTTAACTGTTTCAGACTCATCTGTAACGGGTGTCGGCGATGATAACGGCGTTATAGTTACAGTCAAAGTAATTAGTCAGATTACTTGTTACTGAAAAAAGTAACACTGTTAGTAACGCAGTTATTCCCATCACTGTTTATCTGTGGATGAAGCCAAATCAGACAGATCAGCTAGAAAAGCTCAGTGCTGCATAAAGGACCTTAAAATGTGGATGACTCTTAACTTCCTACTTCTCAACCCGGAGAAGACAGAAGTGATCCTACTCGGTCCGAAGCGCCTGTGTGACTCCCTCACTAACCAGATAATCACTCTGATAATGTCAGTATTATACCCAGTAACACTGTGAGGAATCTTGGAGTCATTTTTGACCAAGAACTCTCCTTCAAGGCTTATATAAGCCAAGCAACTAAAACGGCGTACTTCCACTTACGGAACATCGCTAAAATTAGGAATTTCCTTCCTAAAAGTGACGCGGAAAAACTCATTCACGCGTTTGTCACCTCAAGGCTCGACTGTAACGCTTTACTGGCAGCGTGCCCTAAAGCGTCTTTGAAGAGCTTCCAGCTCGTTCAGAATACAGCAGCTAGGATCTTAACAGGTACCAAAAGGAGGGAGCACATAACTCCGGTGTTAAAATCACTCCACTGGCTCCCTGTGGAGTACAGAATAAAGTTTAAAATCCTTCTCTTAACATATAAAGCCATAAATGGCTTGGCTCCTTCTTATCTCCAAGACACGTTAGTGTCGTATCAACCAAGTCGAGCGTTGCGCTCACAAAACGCCAGACGTCTGGTGGTTCCTAAGGTCTCAAAGGTCACTGTTGGTGGCAGAGCATTTAGCTCCAAGCTCCTTTACTGTGGAATCAGCTTCATTTATGTTAAGGAAGCAGATACGGTCTCTTTATTCAAGGCTAGGTTTAAAACAGTCCTCTTTAGTTTAGCATATGGCTAGGAAGGTAAGACTCTGGGAAGGTTAAACTCCGCAGACTGTCAGTCAAGCTGCATAGGGAGCCCCCTGCTGGAGAAGTATGGTAACTTGAGCACTATCCTCTCCTCCTTCCTACTTTATCTGTTTAGCATTTTTAGGATTCTGACTGTAGTTTGTTCATTGCTATTCACCCGTTGTCCCATTGTCTGTTTCATGGTACGATGACGGGATCTCTGAGCCTGGCCTCCTCCATCTGCGCCTGCGGACTGCCCCGCCCGACCCGCCTGGGAGTGCTTCAGTCCTGCACCGGACCTGTCCACGTTCAGCGGCCACTGGTCCACGTCCTGTAGCTAGCTTAGGTCCTGGATCATTAGCCTGTCCGTCCGGAGGAGCGGATCCCTTTCTCATATGGGTCTCCCTCCCTGTGGGTTTCCCTAGTTCTCCCCAAGGTTTCTCACTGTGACATCACTATGACATCACTGTGACATCACTGTGACATCACTGACACTGTCATAGCGTCCCCTGGTGGACAGAGTTTGAACTTTAGGAGAAACCTCGAAGCTTTTTCTCTCTTTGTAGAGAACTTAATTCAACAGTTTTTTGAAGCTTGTTATTTTTTGACACAAAAAAACTGCAAAATGATGAGTTTGGAGTCAGGCTTTAATCCCACTCTCCCCCATTAGAGCGACCAGCACTTTGAGTTGCCTTGTGTATGAATTGTGCTATATAAATAAACTTGCCTTGCCCCCCTCGAGGCCTCGCTCAGGCCTCCTTGTTGTCCCTCCCTCACCCCCCACCCCCTCCCACTACCTCCTCACCCTTTCTTTCCTCCTCCCTCTCTCTCCCCTTCCCTCTCCCCCTCCCTCTCCCTCCCGCTCCCTCCTTGCTCTCCCTCCCTCTCCCTCCTCCCTCTCCCTCCCTCCCTCTCCCTCCTCCCACCTCCTCGCTCTGCCTCCTCCCGCCTCCTCGCTCTCCCCCTCCCTCTCCTTCCTCCCCCTCCTCAGAGAGAGAGAGACAAGTTAGAGAGAGACACAGGTTAGAGATCGAGACAAGTTAGAGCGAGACAGGTTAGAGAGAGACACAGGTTAGAGAGAGACAGGTTAGAGAGAAACACAGGTTAGAGAGAGAGACACAGGTTAGCGAGAGAGAGACAAGTTAGAGAAAGAGACAGGTGAGAGAGAGAGACAAGTTGGAGAGAAAGAGACAAGTTGCCTCCAAGTTAGAGAGAGAGAGACAGGTTAGAAAAAGACAAGTTAGAGAGAGAGACAGGTTAGAGAGATAGAGATAGGTGAGAGAGACAGGTTAAAGAGAGAGACAGGTGAGAGAGAGAGACAAAGGTGGCAGAGAGAGACAAGTTAGAGAGAGAGACAGGTGAGAGAGAGAGAGACAAGTTAGAGAGAGAGACAGGTGAGAGAGAGAGAGACATGTTATAGAGAGAGACACAGGTTAGAGAGAGAGAGAGACAGGTGAGAGAGAGAGACACAGGTTAGAGGGAGACACAGGTTAGCGAGAGAGACAGGTTAGAGAGAGACAGGTTAGAGAGAGAGACACAGGTTAGAGAGAGAGACACAGGTTAGCGAGAGAGACAGGTTAGAGAGAGACAAGTTAGAGAGAGAGACAAGTTGGAGAGAAAGAGACAAGTTAGAGAGAGAGAGAGACAGGTTAGAAAAAGACAAGTTAGAGAGAGAGACAGGTTAGAGAGATAGAGATAGGTGAGAGAGACAGGTTAAAGAGAGACAGGTGAGAGAGGGAGACAAAGGTGACAGAGAGAGACAAGTTAGAGAGAGAGAGACAGGTGAGAGAGAAAGAGACAAGTTAGAGAGAGAGACAAGCGAGAGAGAGAGACATGTTATGAGAGAGACACAGGTTAGAGAGAGAGAGAGAGACAGGTGAGAGAGAGACAAGTTAGAGAGAGATACAGGTTAGAGAGATACAGGTTAGAGAGACACAGGTTAGAGAGAGACAGGTTAAAGAGAGACACAGTTTCGAGAGAGAGATACAGGTTAGAGAGAGAGAGAGATAGGTGAGAGAGAGACAAGTTAGAGAGATACAGGTTAGAGAGACACAGGTTAGAGAGAGACAGGTTAAAGAGAGACAGGTTAGAGAGAGACACAGGTTAGAGATCGAGACAAGTTAGAGCGAGACAGGTTAGAGAGAGACACAGGTTAGAGAGACAGGTTAGAGAGAAACACAGGTTAGAGAGAGAGACACAGGTTAGCGAGAGAGAGACAAGTTAGAGAGAGAGACAGGTGAGAGAGAGAGACAAGTTGGAGAGAAAGAGACAAGTTTAGAGAGAGAGAGACAGGTTAGAAAAAGACAAGTTAGAGAGAGAGACAGGTTAGAGAGATAGAGATAGGTGAGAGAGATAGGTTAAAGAGAGAGACAGGTGAGAGAGAGAGACAAAGGTGGCAGAGAGAGACAAGTTAGAGAGAGAGACAGGTGAGAGAGAGAGAGAC